TATATATATATATATATATATATATATATATATATATATATATATAAAGCAATGATGTAATTATTAAATAAAATTAACTTTTTGCTATTCTAATTGCAATTTAAGACTAGGTATGTAATTCATTTGAAACTGATCACTTATTTGTTTGCTGGAAGCTTTGTATGTGTCTGCCTCTAGACTACAGCAATTGCTTCAAATGCCTTTTATATCTAAAGAGAATTAGGCAAATATCTTGACAACACTGTTAATTTGCTGTGATTTTTGGGCGAAATGTATAACATGTATATGTTTAATACACCTACACCTTGAAGTGTGCACACATTGTTTGCTAGCATAATGTATTCCTATTGGTAACCCCTACTAGCAATTCCTATTGCTAGTTATAATGTTGTTATAAAGGTATAAAACAAATGAAAATACTGGTGGAGAATACTGCTAATTAGTGATAATCTACATACTTAAAAAATCAACAACTTAATAATTATGTATAAACTGTCATGCAAATACACAGCTAAGTGTTTTCACTGTGTAAAACTGTACAAAAAGTATATACGATTCAAGAAAAGCATGTATTTAGGAATATCACAAGATTACATGTTTTCCTATAGAGATATACATTGTGTAAACAGTACAATCTTTAAAAATGCTATAAAACAGATATCTCATATTGATACACAGTAATAGATGTAATTGTTAATTAAAAATATGTATGAATTAAATATATAAGTAATTCTAAGTAGCTGATTTATTAAAACTTTATCAGTTTATTGAATGTTTCATGTTATGTGTGCTGTCAAATATCCAGTCAGGTTTTGAGACATCTGAATAACTATAGAATAGCTAGTATAACTAGTATAACTTGACTGTCAATTTTAAGCAATTATAAAACTTTTAGTATATGTAACGGAGGTAAAATAATGCAATATTTGGTTTACTATGCAAAGTTCAGGAGGATTGGATATATTTAGGGTACCTCTTAAGTTATATTAGACTTTATATACATAGTATTGGATTTCATATAAACAGCTTTTGTTCATCTATATTTTTATTACTTATGTTCAAAGAAAAATTGTGAATTTTATGTAAGTAGCTGGTGTTATTCTATATTTTCCTTGTCACAAAACATGTTAAGATGAAAAAGGTGAATTCTGCAATGTTGCTAAAGTTTAAATAATCTTGAACTTAATTCAATAACTATTTTAACACTTTGTGTATATACTGTAAATGAAACAATTTTACTAAAAAAAATGTGATGTATGCTTACAATTAGTACATTAATTAAAATGCATAAAAATAAGTTATATAAAAATAAACAGTAAAAATCAAAATGCATCAAAATAAGTTATATAACGATAAACAGTGAAATCATTTTCATTTCCTACATGCATTTATTTTTTCAGAATTAAAAAATACATATTGTGGTTAAATATATTTTATATTACAAGATATTATTATTATTATTATTATTACATATTTGTAAAGGTAATTTAACATTCAGCCATATACAGATGTATATACAATTTTTTCCTCAGCATTTGACGAGGAGTTTAAAGTAGAAAAATACTCCCAGTGAATCACCTCAAATCAAAAATTAAATCTTTTTTTCTTGCACATTTATCTGTTGCTCACCTTTACTCTCTAGCTGATTGGGGACTTGCGCTGTCTGTGGTTTGTGTCCAATGGTCTCTCCTCCATCTGTTCCTGGCCCTGAGTACATGAAATGTTGCACACCCCGGGCTTCACATTCTTCCTGAGCTTGTTGTCTTCTGAGTGCCACCTGTGCAGCCATGACTCGTTGGCGCTCTGCAATCAAGGTGCATTTGGCACATGTACAATCCCTCCAGCGACAAAAACGTTTGTGCCCTTTAAGTGCAGATACCACTCCATGATTACGGCACCGTGCACATTTTGGAGTTCGTGGGTACATGGCTGCTCCACCTGTCCCTCTGTCTAAAGATATTCTGGGACTACAGGCTGCTGCAGCAGCTGCAGCTCGCAAGAACAGAGTTGGAGGTCTCAGAAATGAGGCAGACATAGAAACTGATGGTGGCACTGGCATGGATGATGAAGACGAAAGATTTGGGGGTGGTACTGGAGGAAGTAAACCAGGAGGCAGCAGTGGTCTGGAGCTTAGATTTGCACTGGAGTTGTTGCAGTCCATTGCTGCTTAGCAATTGAAGTAAAGCTTCAGCTCAGCCTTGTGATAGTCTGAGCTCTGCTATGTGTCAAACACTGTTAAGCTGATATGTGTGACTTAAAAGCCTTCCCTCAGTCTCCTCTTTAGCAAAACAGATGTGCAGTGTGATTTCAGGCTTGTCAGGAGGGGAGGGCATTAAATAGAGGCGTAGCTCAACATGTAAAGGGATTTCACAGGCAGGGACTTTTCTTACAGGGGGTTTGCTATTCACTGCATGAAAATGATCTCAAGAGCTAAATAGCACTAACAAATACAGTCCCTGGTAAAGCCAGAATAGATATTGCATAATTTACAACTTATTTTTCCGATTAACACTCCAAGAATCTAGGAATATACAATTAAAAGTAAAATAGCTTCATAAAACAAAATATAGTTGAAGTGCTAAAACATAACTACAAATAACATCAAAGTATTTAATGATAAACAATAGATGACACAGTAAATATGTGCAAATAGATTACTGTGGAAGAGTAACAGTACGGGGAAGGAGTGTATATATTTGTGAACCAAATGTTAAAACTGTTTATAGAAGGCTAAGCAATTTAAGAATGTGTATTGTAAAAATAAATATGTAGAACAGCTATATTTATTTGGTAATTGCTTAACGGAAGAGTAAAAGTGAAAAAATATAACACAGAAATGAATAAATAAATACATTAATACATAAATATGTGTAAAATAAAAAGAACATTTGTAAACAGTTGCTCAAAATTATTCTGTGGTATAATTTAGTGCAAGAGTTGTATATTATCCAATTTAACATATACTGTAGCACTCTAAAGTACATGTTCTCTTCTACTAATGTACACTATCAAAATGGGCTTTGTCTGTAGGCAGAAGCAATGATAAGTGTACATTCAGTACATACACCAATAAATATTTTTAGCTTTTTATGTAGCTTCAGTAGTATTTTACAGAGCAGAATGATTCAGTCACATCAGTCCCCAAAGGAAATTACAATCATATGTCCTTACCACTGTCATGCAGGCGGTCACACACTTGCAAACTTTGTGAGGAATTGAGGGCTTTTTTATTTTGTAGCTGAAGACAAAAAAACAGTCCTAGTCTATAAGGTACCGAGAAACGAGCACTTGAACATTCAGCAGTTCACTAATTAGGCAAAGTAACATGTATTATTTTTCAAATCTATCTTCATTCATAATATTGTTACAACATATTAAAATAAAATTCCCAGTGGGAGCAACCATGATAAATAACTATTTGCATTTGTAACCAGATGCACAGCAGTACAGAGCACTGACTTGGCTTCTATGAGGGTTATTCACAAAGCTAGCCAAAGGATCAGCTGTTGATCCGGCTGATCCTTTGGTTAGCTTCAGTCGAACTGAAGGGCTGCTGTATGGGCTTTTCGCTATAGCCCGTACAGCTCCCGAAGGCGGCCGAGCGGCTCAGCCGAGCCGAAAGCATATGCTCAAAACAAATATATGATTTTTCCCACTGTTACTTATTTGGAAAAGATAACATAAATTCAAAGCTGAACTTAAAGAAGAACTCTGGCAAATAAAAATGTAACCCTTGCAGTGAAGCTACCCCCACACTACAAGGGTTGCACTTGTTTTGTATAGGGCCTAAAATAACACCCAAATCTCGATCTTGGCTTACTGCTAGACCGGTCCCTCCAGCCTCGCTGCCCCTTCAGCAGTCTAAGGTCCAGTGAGTCATCATGTCCTATGCAGTGAATTGGATGTGAGGATGTGAAGGGACATACCATCGCTGGAGCACAGCAGGAGAAAGGATGATCTGCTCTTTTGTCTAGGGAGTAAAAATAAAGAAGAAATACGTGTCTGATCCTTGGCTGCTAGATCAGCCCCCGCAGTCTCTTCTTCCAAGGACATACCACAGCTAAAGTAGTGGGGGAGAGAGGTGAGCGGTCACTGCCATGGGACCAAGTATCAGGTGAGTATTTCTTCTTTTCAAAACAAGTACTTAACCCTTTGCAGTGCGGGGGTAGCCCCACTTCAAGGGTTAACATTTCAAAACCCTGGAGGTTTTCTTTAAAACTAATTTATGCATTATCTCAGTTTGCTCTTCAGCATTGTGATATCAACTAATATATGACAGATTCATAGTAAAAAAAGATAAATGCACTTTACTTACATTGTTCAAAGAACAAATCTGTAACTGGGAAGATCTGGAGCGTGATCTATTAAGGTGTGAAGTCCAGTTGAATGAAGTAAAATTAAGTGAGCAAAAAACATCCAGTTGTTGCAGGAGAATTTAAAAAAAAGAATACAACCTCTATAACTGGATGTTTGAAATTATGTTAACTTCACTGCATTTCACCGCACTTTACACTTTCGTAAAAAAAAATGATTAAACTTGCAGATTGTGTTAGCACTTTGTGAGTAGGGATGGGCTCGATGTTCGAGTCAAGCATGAGTTCGACTCGAACATCAGAAGTTCGTGTGTTTGGCGAACACACGAACTGTCAAGGCATTTGGCGGGCTGTTCGCCCAGTGCCTTGTGAGCCCTGATTGGCTAAAGCCTTGCACCGGACTACAGGTCAGGTGCAAGACTTTGACCAATTATGGCCAGGTACTCCGTAAGAGCCATAACTGGCAAAGTCATGATGACTTTGCCCAATCATGGCTCACTTGTCAGATGCCGTACAACTGTAAACAGTTGGGCGGAGCTAGCTGTCACCGCTAGCTCTGCCCAATTGTTTATATGTTACCGGCATCTGTCAAAATGCTATTCTGCGGCGAGTTAGTTGCAAGTGGATGGGACAGCGGGCGTTGTTTTAAAAAAAAAATTATTTATTTTTTATTGTTTTATTTTTTATTTTGTCGAGTCGTTATCCTGGTGGACAACGCTGGACATCGTGATTGTTGCTGGATTACATTGGTGAATCCATTTTTTTAAAAATAAAAGATTTGTCAAAAACTTGTCTTTTTTGTTTTTTTTTCCAAATAAAGGATTTTTTCCAAAATCTGGCCTCTTTTTTACAATTTTATTTAACCCTTTAGTGAATGGGTAGGGGTACAAGTACCCTTTGCTCATTCAAAAAAAGGGGGGGCCGCATCTGGGTGCCCCTTTATTAAAGGGGTGCCCTGATGTGAATAAGCCCCCTGCCTGCACCCCCACAACCAACGCCCCAGGGCTTGTGGCGAAGAGGCCCTTGTCCCCATCGGCACGGGAACAAGGTGCTTTTCCAGGGGCGATCCTGGAAAAGCACCCTCCCAGTGCCGAGGGCATGTGGCCTGGTATGGCAGGGCCGCTCGCTTGTCCCCCCACCCCTTTCCTACACTGCCAGGCCTGTGTTCGGATCAAGGGTCTAGTGTGGTATTTTACGGGGACCCCACATTTTTCCCCCGGGATGGGGTTCCTCCTTAAAATTTCGACCAGACCTTAAGGGCCTGGTATGACTTTGAGGGGGAACACCAGACTTTTTTTTTTTACATGAGGTCTCTCCTAAATTTTCTACCAGACCTTAAGGGCCTGGTAAGACTTTTGGGGAGAATCCCACACTTTTTTTTTTTAAATGGGGTCTCTCCTAACATTCCTACCAGACCTAAAGGGTCTGGTATTGTTTGGGAGGGGGGACAGCACGCTTGTTTTTTTTGCTTTTTAAATGTCATTTTTTTCTTTACAAATGTCATTTTTGCTGCAGCAGGTTCTATACACTGTACTGATGTGCCACTTTACAGGCAGTTTAAGGGGACCCCTCCAGACATGACATTTAAAGGAGTTTTTCATTTTTATTGTTTCACTTTAAGTGATGTTAAAATCACTGCTTCTTTAAAAACGCTATTTTTCAAAAGTGTTTTTTCCCCCCATTGATACATGTCCCCCAAGGCAGTACCCGAATCCCCATACCCTTTTTATGGCCAGTAATTTGCATATAAGCCTTCAAAATGGGGTCAATTGATTTTCAAAGTTCTAGCCCTATAGACTTGCACTGAGTTCGAGTTCAAATTCGTACTTTCTCCATGTTTTCCATGTACTTTTTTTTAAAGTTCGGATTCAAACCAAACAGGGGGATGTTCGGCCCATAACTGTGAGCACTTTTAGTCTAGATTAGCTACCTGTCAAAAGTCTTCCTGGTGAAGTCTGCTTTCATTTCAGAAATAGTTACTGTGCATGCATCCAACTGTGCATACTCTCAGCCCCCATTCATGCTAATCATGTGCGTAAACATGAGCAACATTCAGTAATTTTGCATGTGTTCATGTCATGCACTTCAAGTTTTCATTTAAACAAAATCCTTTTTTTCATATTAGCAGAATCTGCCAGGTCCCTTCATCAGGCAAACAAAAGGTAAACACGCATCACACATTCATGCAGTAGTGTATATGGGGCTTACTATGTACACCTAGGACAATCAGTTCATCAGAATTGGTTTATACTCTTCTTGTTTTGGGCTACATTTGAGTAGGATTTATAAAAAAACTATTAATTTTTTTCTAGGGGGTGATTCCAAAAGCTATTATTTATTATGTTTTTTATGCACAGAGAGTAGCAAAGTAAATCTCTGTTACAACCCGATTCATGCTCCAAAATGGCCTGTAGGCTCTCCTTTTATCACACCATGTAGTTAACCATAGCAGTTATTGCTATAGATGGTCACTTCAGTGCAATGGATTGTGTTGCCAACACCCTTTCAGTGACTGCACACAGTTGTAATATCAGGTAGAGAGGCTCCCTCAGTTGGAACTACTTGTCACTGCAAGACCTGCTGTTCATTTCCTTGTAATAGGGCCTAGTTTCCCCTGAGCTGTGCATCATGAAGTATTTAGGCACAGGATCACATTGTACAGAGTAAGAAGAAGTCAGGTGCCACTTCACTGCCTTGAACTGCAAGAACCATGCTAACAAGCAAGTGTGACCTGAGGGATGTGTTCCTAAATATGAAAAAAGGTTCAGCGGTGGAAGAACAGGGTTTCTAGCATGTATCTTACACTGAGGCCCTTGAATGTCAAATTCTAACACTCATGAAAATAATTTCAAATTTTCATTCTA